AATATGATAAATATGATAAATATAATAAATATAACTAATCTATCTAAACTAACAGATATAACACATATAACGAATATATGACCAATTTGTCATATTTGTCAGATTGTCATTCAGATCGGCCAACCAATTCAAATCACATGATTGGCTATAGTTGATCGGGGATCACGCCTTCACCGCTCATGGAATAATGTATATGTAATGAGGCGCTCACGTTTTCCACGTTGAAGGCCTGCTGAAAGCGACACACTATTGTCTGGGAAAATAGATTGTCAAGAGACCGTCATCATGAGGATGGAATATTTTTCGAGCCAATCCAGGGGATTGCAACGCTGATAGCTGCATCTTTGCCCTTGCCTTGTACCAAATTGACCTTCGCAATTTGACCTGACAAAATCGTGAGCTATTGCGATGATAACAACCTCGGGCTAACTAAGAAACTTTAATTTCGTTCTTGAAATTTTCTTAAAAAAAGTGTACAAATCTTTTTCTGGGTAGGTTTTAATCCGTCGATTTGGAATCGAACAAAAGAACAACTTTTATTTATAAAATCCGTTATCATGATTTCTTGCTCATGTAGGTACCGGTCTAGAAGATATAAATTTTAGAATGTGAATTTTCGATAAAAAGGTTACATTCTGGAACCAGGTAATAACAGAAAAAATAATCTTACATACTTCATAATTACTTGCGATCATAAACTTTCTTTTTATGAAAGGATCGATCAACTCTCCAAAAGGTTTTTATGACGCTTTAAAATATTGCTTAGCTTCTTTGTGCCAAGACTCTAGCAGATACCCATATCGTAATTCACTTGTTGATGTATATTCTTTTCCTCGCTTCAGTCCAAGTATGTTCTTCATTTGATAAATCTCCAAGTTATTCATGAACTAAGAGTGGGTATCTCCCCGGAATAGGAAAATTCCATAGTTATCACGTCCAACCCGGCAACTGCCAAAGATTTTACAGAGTCGGTAAGGATTAATGTACAATCCTCAGCATTTCTCCCATCATCGTTATTTGCTTCGTCCAATTTCGAAAAACCAATGATTCTATTAAAAATATATCGAAATTTAATTTTAATTAACAAAATTTTTTTATCAATTCCCTCTCCTCTCCCTTCGACAATTTATTTACTTAGTTTTTTTCCCCATATGTCTTCTTTAATTCTGTATTTAGTTTATTATTAACTTCATCTATAATGTGATCACATTTGAGAACATTATATAGAGAAAAATCAATGGACCATATATATATACAAATATTTTTTTTACAATATAAAACAAAATAATATATTATATGAATAGTACAACTAATTACGTTTATTAAAGATCAAAAAGTATGTGGATTTTAATTCTTTCGCCTGAGATTCGAAGGATGGTTTTCAATCGAACAATATGATTTTTGATATGGTTCTTATTTCTGCTGTAATAATTCTTTCAGCAAGTTGATATATTGCATGATGGAATTGAGAATCAGTAGAGAAAAGGGCTCCAATTTCCCATCGTTCACCACTCTTACCAAATATTATTGTAGATTTTAAGTCTTCGCTATCACTCATTCATTATAAAAAAAACACTTGAACTTCATCAACGCCGTATACACGCTTTTTTAAGAGGCCAATAATGTAATTGTTATATAAACTTGTGAAAATAAGTTTGAATGCAAACGTGTATTCACATTTAGAACAAGCGGTGATAATTGGTTGTCCGATTACGGTCATATTGTTCCTGAAAGCTTTGCGATATTTCTTGCCGTTTGAAGATGTTTCCACAATTTCTTCGCCAAACTAGCAAATAGCCAAAGCCATCTATACCTTCCTCTTTTTCTTCTCATTTATGATGAAGAAGAAGTTAAGAAAAAAATGAATTCCGCACTGTATATGTTCACTAATTTAGCAACCGAAACATTAAGAATATCGGAAACTTTCTTTTCCTTATCATCATAATTTGAAAGATGTAAAAAATTGCGAAAAAATAAGTTGAGGTACGTAGACTTTTGATTATTGTGCATTTCAATAAGAGTTGCTTTTCCGTTATTAAAGATCGAAATTTGACCTCCTTCTTTGTCAATATCAACTTAAATAAGATAACTTTAGGTCTCGAACCTGATTATTTAAATATTCAACACAAATCTTAACGATTCTAAATAAAACGTACCTTGTTATCAGCAGCATTTACCAAGATATCATCAACTATTTTATATGATCAAGGTACGTAGATAATTTATCTGAGAACAAAAATATATAAGATATAAGATTACATACTTGTAATACGTGTTCGAAACCATTATAAACTTCAAAAAAAAATTACCTGTAACAAGCCTTTTACGATTCAGAAACAAAAACCAACCCTTTTCTTTAAAGAGTCAATATAAGAGTCGGTTCTCAGCAACTGGAGAAATCTTTTTTATTGCTTGGTGTGTTTGCTTGCGTGGCTTGGTTTTGCTATTTACCTCGCCACAAACAGTATTTTTTGTATCCGCAGCTGACAGAAGACGCAATACGCAGTAGGATGATGAAATTTTCAAAAAAGTCGCTCCGTAATACTGTAATACCACATTTTATTCTTGTTTGCTTTTTTTAGTATTATATGTTCTTAGAATGATGATGTTCAACCTTATTTTAAGGCTTTTCTTATCACCTCAGCCCCTTCAGCCCAAAAATAAATAAATAATTTTTGTCAACTTTGCGCAGTCCATATTTTTTATTTAAATGACAAAAAAAAAAAATATCGTTATACCCCTAACAATTTTTAAAGTTTCTTGTTTCACAATTCCAAGAAAACGAAAGCTGAAATCCTTTTAAAGATAAATAAACATTTTTTAATTATCAACACATGTTTTCACTGCGTGAAATACCTTTTCTAAATCTGCTTCATTCATAATGGGTCAAATATTAAGCCCAACTGGTTCTCATTCCTATCGTTTTTGGATAAACTATTATACCAAAAGAGGAATGTTTGATGAAATTTTGTTTAAATTTCAATTATAATCATCAACCTTTAAAATTAATGAAATCAATTATGCCCAAAGTAATCAATTATGTCCAAAGTAAAGGCGGGTGGTAATTAATTACACCCAAAGTAAAAAAAACACTTTGGAAAAAACAAAATAATTTTAAAATTTTTTTTTGCATTTTAATTATAATCATTTATTTCTCCCTTTTATTAATATTCTTTTATGTATAAATCAATTATTATTTTTCCATTTAAATTATAATAAAAAAATGTAAAAAATCTATTTAAAATTATTAATAAAATAAATACAGAATGAATTTTTCGCATAAAACGTTTTGTTTATCACATGATTTTCTCTTTATAACCTTTGCAAAATAGTTAACATGAAATTTGAAATCCAAAAATAAACCATTAAACATTACTGGAATATTAACATTCGTTTAGCAAAAGAAATACATGAAATAACAATCGAGAAACAGGTGGTATTAATCCACCAAATGTTACACAAAAATTTCACATATTATCAGATAGAATATATGTTGTAATAATACTATTTCTATTCTCCAACTTGCAAATAAAATAGAAAATATCAGATATTTTTATTGAACATATTACTATTTGAAAACATGTGAAAAAAAGAATAAAGCAAAAGTTATAGTATAGAGAGAAATTTCATAAAAGAAAAACACATCTGTTTTGCTTTACCAATATTTTTGATAAATCATTTTATTATAGAATTAGCTTTACTTATTTTAAGAAATATATATAAAAGAAATTAATGCTTGTTACAAAATAATAACTCAAAGTATATATCATGAATTGCTAAAGATTTTATTACTAAAAATTTAATTAGCCATCTAATGATCCAGACTAATAATACCTATTTAAAAGCTTTTTTTAAAAAAAAGTAATTTTATTAAAAGAATTTATTTTTTTTAATATTTTTATATAAATTAAATATAAAATTATTATTAATTCAAAGAATTCAAATAAAGTTAAATATAATTTTAGCAATTAAATAAATAGTTCGTTATTTCTAAAAAAAACTTATTATATCATTTCAATTTCATCAGTTTGTTATATTAAATAAAATAGTTTATTGAAAAATAAATGCTACAAAATAATAATAAATTGATTATTATTGAAAAATAAAAATAAAGATAATAAAACAACTGATTGAAAAATCTGTAACTAATTACAATTCAGATTATAATCTAAAAAGTTATAAACTTTTATATTATAATATTATTAATAAGTATTATATATCTTTGTTACTAAATATTATCGTTATATCTTCTAAAAATAATATTTTGTCATTAGAATCCAGATATTATTTATCTTTTGAAATTGATTAATACTTGAATACTTAAAATTATTATTAATCTGTTAGATTTTAAAGAAAAATTTTATTTTATTTATTTTTTTTTTAATATAAAAAAATTAAATATAATTTATTAAATAAATTAAATAAATGATTAGAAATTAACATTTATTTTTACTATTTTCTATACTTCTTATATTATATATTCCTTAATATAATAATAAACAATATCTGCAGATATTATTCAACTTAAAAACTGAATTTTTAATTAATACTCTAGAAATTATATATATTAGTAAAAAGTAACTAAGTAATAAAATCTATTAAATATCTGAAGCTTTAGGATAATGCAATGAATTTAATTAGTTTAACATTATTTATTGTTATATTTGATTCTAAAATTTGATTAGTTTTTATATGCATAATAATTAATATTAGTAAATAACTATAAAATGATCTCAAATAATCTTACTTTTCTATAAATTTCAAGTCAAAGATCAAATCCATTTGAAAAAATAGTATATAGCCTTGTAATTTACTATTATTAATAATATTAAATAAATATTATATGATTTTAATTAAAATTATCAAAAAAATACAGTTATTAAAGATGGTAGCCTTTATGAATATGTTGCAACATACCACTGTTATAACATATGTTGCAACATAGTTGCAACA